TGCTCTGATGGTGTTTCCTGCTTGGCAGGGGGTTGGACTCGATGGCCCTTGTGGTCTCTTCCAACTCTATGATTCTATGATTCTATGATTCTAGCCCCATTGGGTGAGGCGATATAATTACTGGATTCACTTCCTTGGAAAAGCATAATTAAGGTAACTTGAACTGTGACAGTGGCAGAGCCAGCTAGTTTGCTGCTTCAACAAATTAATGGCCAGACCTTGTTCTCCCAACTGCTGTTAACATTACCAGATTGTGGGACTGAATACCTTTCCCGCCTCCAAAAATTCATGCCTGGATAACGAATGAGTCACAATTTGGGGGCCAGTGGCTGTCGCTATGGCCAAACTCTTGCAAAATGAAAAAGCTAAAACTCTGTGAAGCCAGAAAAGGGGGGGGGGGAGGGAGTAAAATCTGGCAACTTGTGTGAATTATGGGAATTAGTGGAAATATGCTTAATTAACAACAATCTGCTAGCATTTTTTTTTTTTAAAAAAAAGCGCTGTGAAATTTGGATTTTAGTTTGTGGAAAAGGTTGCTGGTTGGAGTGCACCTCTGGGGGTGAACCTCTTGGGTTAGCATCACCCAAGTGACCTCCCCAGGGTGCAAGATGTGCCTCTCTGATGTGGCCCAAAGGAAAGCAGAGCAAGACATTTGGCACCATCTTGGTTGCAGAAGTTGCATACAAGGCGCCATCCAACTATCTTAGAACTCCACTCTGGATTTGTGTAGGGTTTACACCATAGGTAGGCAAACTAAGGCCCGCCTTCTCAATCCGGCCCGCAGACAGTCGGGGAATCAGCGTGTTTTTACATGAGTAGAATGTGTCCTTTTATTTAAAATGCATCTCTGGGTTATTTGTGGGGCCTGCCTGGTGTTTTTACATGAGTAGAATGTGTGCTTTTATTTAAAACGCATCTCTGGGTTATTTGTGGGGCATAGGAATTCGTTCATTATTATTTTTCCAGAATATAGTCTGGCCCCCCACAAGGCCTGAGGGACAGTGGACTGGCCCCCTGCTGAAAAGGTTTGCTGACCCCCTGGTTTACACTGTAGACTTTTCTTTTCCCTAAGATGTCCCACAAGGCTGCTGAGGTTTAGGATCAGAGATTTCCTTCTCCTAGATGGGCTTGACAAGCCCCATCAGGCCCTCAAATTCCTCTACAGCACCTGCAGAAACCACCACCTTGACTGCTGGACCCACTGTTGGTCTCGTCCCCTCAATCTGCCAGAGCCTGTCTTTGCATGCAGGGGAAGTCCCTAACTCCACCAGGGTTTAAGACCCATTGGCTATCCTCACCTGGTTTGGCCTGCCAGTTGAAGCCATTTGTTGGGATGCAGCTGCTGCTTCATGCTGACAGCTTCTAGGAGCCCCAGGTGAGAGCTGAGTGCAGGGTGGGGACCAAAGGTGGACAAACAACCCCAGAAGGACCACGACATGTCTCCCACCAGAGGAAGACTGCATTACCGCTTACTCCTCATCCAGATGTGTTGTACTACAAGGACCAGGGCTGCAGTCCAAACCATTGAGCCTCTTGGGCCTGCCGATTGGAAGGTCAGTGGTTCGAATCCACGCAACAGAGTGAGCTCCCATTGCTCTGTCCCAGCTCCTGCCAACCTAGCAGTTCGAAAGCACGTCAAAGTGCAAGTAGATAAATAGGTACCACTCCGGCGGGAAGGTAAACGGCCTTTCCGTGTGCTCTGGTTTCCATCACAGTGTTGCGCCAGAGGCGGTTTAGTCATGCTGGCCACATGACCCGGAAAGCTGTCTGTGGACAAACGCTGGCTCCCTTGGCCTGAAAGCGAAATGAGCGCCACAACTCCATAGTCACCTTTGACTGGACCTAACCGTCCAGGGGTGCTTTACCTTTTTACCTTTACAAGGACCATCTTGGCCAGTGATGGGAGTTGCAGAGGGTACCATCTTGGGGGAGTTCTTCTCTGTGTCCTTACAAAGCTTATTTCTCACTCCCTGTGAACAGCAGCCAATCACGTAGAGGAAAGGGGAGAAATGCGCATGCCAATGGTGCTGTGGGTACAGGCGCGATGTGACAGAGTTTCACACAGGGCTGCCATTTGTTGTGCTCTTTGTAACATACCATTCTGCCCACTTTCGATCAATAGGACACGAGAGATCAGATTACGTTCCTGAATGTTCTTGCGTTAAAAAGAAAGAAAGGAAAGGGAACAGGCTGAACTTAATTTCCCCATGGTGAAGCACTTACTCTGACTTGAAACGGTCGGGTTCCTTGCGCTTTACAGTAAACACCATTTTGCATACATTACTCACATTCTCTGGGACTGCCACCCACTGCCCACAACATTGTTAAGGGTAAGTTTTGCCATGCCAACGATTTATTCCTCCTGCCCCCTCCAAGCTTTGTGGTCTTGGCTGAAAGGCATATTCCATGCTAGTGATTACCGGGCACGAGACTGAAAAACAAAACTGGCACTAATCCAATGCCTTTTTCTGCAATTGTATGTGAGCACACTGTGTAGAATTTTGGCCATCTCGTCTCAAGAAGGGTAGCGTAGAGTGGGAGAAGGTACAGAAAGCAACATCCAAAATCTTTTGGAATTGAAAACTACCCTTCCCAGTGCGGGTTGAAATAAACAAGTAACAGGAATAACTGTTGTGTGTTTGTGTTTGTCGACTTGCTGAGGGAGGCCAGGGCACTGTGCTATGCAGTGTAGTGGGTCACCAAGTGACAGACTTGCATGTGTGAGCCAAACTTTCACTTTCAAATAGCAATGGGATATAGTTCAGGCACTCTAAAATCTTGCACATAGCAGCCTCAGGGATACAACTGGATGAAAGAAAGCAACGTTGGATCTTGCACACTCAGATTGATCCTAGTGCAAGCTTGCCAACTCTAGGGGGCAGAGGTGTCTTGCACCCCCTCAATATTTGTTTGAAGGGGGTCCAGGCTGTGCCCCATATTGAGGGGCCCCGACGCATCCTAGCGGAAGCCTGCCCTACATTGTGTTGGGAGACGTGAGTTGGCTGGAGCTCGTAGAGGCTGGAGCCAAACCATATCTAGAGGGACACAGGTTCACTACCCCAGGTTTATGGGCTTGAATCAGCAGCTCAGACGGCAATGACTTGTCACCTTGTCATCTGAAATATACTCAGAGTTGAGAGTGGATTTCATGCTCTTTATTCAGCTCATAGTGGTGAGGAGGAATGGAAGTTCCCCCAGAATGTCCACTTTAGATACATTATTTATACAATGGGCCCCACATGATTGGCTAATTCCGGGATTCTCCTGTAGGCCAATCAGATTGCGGATTCACTTCCACCTGGAGTTGGATTGGGTGGCTCCTGTGGACCAATCAGACTGCTGCATTCTGGGTCCTATTGTTCTAGGACCAATCGGACTGCTGCATTCTGAATCCTATTGTTCTAGGACCAATCAGACTGCTGCATTTTGGATCCTATTCAACTCAGTACATAACACCATCCACAGTGGTCTTGTTGGGAGGCAAAGCTTTTATTACCCTCCTTATCGACCTGCTGTCTGGCAACCTCCATACCCCTCCCCTCTTTCCTGACCGCCATGCCAAAAAAAGGAGAGACTCCTTTGGGCTGCCCAGTAATCTCAAAATTGGGTTCCTTCTGCTTTGCGGGATGGCTTGCCATTGCTCTCCACCCCGCTCTCCAAAGATCTCTCTGCAGGTGCTATTTTGACCCATTTAGATCATCGTCTCTTGCCACCACCACCCCTCATTTCTTCAATGCTGTTTTCAACCATCTGTCTCTCATCCCCCTTACTCCTTTTCTATCTATTCTTTCATCTTTGCTGGCACAATGCCTTTCCCAATCCACCTTCCCTCCTGGCCGAACTCTGTTTTCCTTTCTAGCAAACCAAAGGTTGGGGGGTGAGTAAGATGGGAAGATGCAAGCTGACCTTTCCTTTTGCGCTTCCAGGAGGTCTTGTAATATCAAGCAGAAAATAACTTGAGATCTATTTTTACCACCTCTCTTCCCACTTCAATTGATGCCAACAGCTATTCTAATATCCACTGTAATAACAGTTGCAATAACAGTTGGGTGTATTCATGTGCCTTTTAGTACTATGGCAGTGGTAGGAAACCATTCCCGCCCCCCCAGACCCAAGACTGCACTTCCACCTGGGGACCCTTCTGGGGCCCATATGCCAGCAGTGGGTGGAGCCACAAACAAAAGCAGGTGGGGCATTATATGCAGTTTTTAATCTTTGTGCAACTGCCCTTTCTATCCATCATCCAAACTGGTAGATAGAGTTGAAGGGCACATTCCAGCCTGGCAAAACACCCCATGAAGAACATTTTGAAGAACTTTCTGACTGTAAGACCTGTTTGACACTGGCATGGACTACCTTGATTCCTGCATTGCAGGATGTTGGACTAGATGGGTGGTGCTGTGGTCTAAACCACTGAGCCTCTTGGGCTTGCTGATTGGAAGGTCAGCAGTTCGAATCCCCATGAGAGGGTGAGCTCCCGTTGCTCTGTCCCAGCTCCTGCCAACCTAGCAGTTCGAAAGCACACCAGTGCAAGTAGATAAATAGATACCACTGCAGCAGGAGGGTAAATGGCGTTTCCGTGTGCTCTGGCTTCCGTCACGGTGTCCCATTGTGCCAGAAGTGGTTTAGTTCTGCTGGCCACATGACCCAGAAAGCTGTCTGTGGACAAACACAGGCTCCCTGGGCCTGAAAGCAAGATGAGTGCCACAACCCCATAGTCGCCTTTGACCAGACCTAACCGTCCAGGGGTCCTTTACCTTTACCCTATTAGATGGGATCCTTTCCAGCTTTACAATTCTATGATTCTACACTGGTCAGTGGGGCTGCTGTAATTCCTGTCGCTATGTTTGTAGGGGATCTATTCCTTCACCCTCACTCCCCTGCCCTGATTGCAGGCTAACCTAATCGCAAGTTGCCTTCTGGACTAGTGGTCCACAGTGTCTGGCAGCATCTCTCCAGGGGTTTTTAGGTAGGGGACTCTCTACCAGACCCCTAGTCCTACCTGGAGATGCTGGGGATTGATCCTGCGACCTTCTGAATGCAGGGCAGATGCTCTACCACTGAGCAATGGTCCTTCCCCAAGGATAGAAACCTGCACCACATCACAGGCAGTAGGCTGGATTAGGGGGGCCAGGACAGACCCTGTGGCAACAGAGGAGATGGGCTGGAGGACTCAGAAGGAATAGTTGGTGTGTGTTGCTACTTCCTTTACCTGTGGGACACCCACACCCAGATTGTGCTGCCTGAGGTGGTTGCCTCTCTTTGCCTAATGATAGATATTAGTGTATGTGAGTTTATGCATGCAGAGAAAAAGGGCAAGAAAGGGTTAATGTAGGTGTGTTTGCCTCACACCTGCAGCTGCTTAAGTGTGAGTCAGCACACCTGTATAAATGCCCTTGTGTTTGTAGAAAGTTTGCCTTGGCCTCTGCCCCTTGGCTAGAGCCTAATCTGTTTTGGATCTCTCTAGGGAGGATGTGTTCCTGGAAAGATGTTTTACTACTTTTGCTGTAGGCTGTCTGGTGGGCATTAACAACAGGCTCAGGTAGGATTACTTTATGCTACATCTGTATGTAACTGCTAAGCTGAGGAACTGCATTATACTTTGGGCTACCCATCAGTCAAGTAACTGACCTTACCCCAAATTGTCTGTTGTTTTTCTTCAACAACCCTATTCTGAGCTTTACATTTGCAGTTTCTGCTGGCGTGTTGAGTGAGCACTCTGCACGTGCCCCAACACTGGTGCACTCAGCCAACCATATGGCAGCCAATTTTATGGAAGCCACTGAGAGGTTTTTGCAATGAAGCGGTAGACCAGTTCTGCCAAACGAGCAGGGCAAGTGTTTGCATATATGTATTTGTGCATATACTAGTTTATATGCGCGTAGTTTCAAATTTAGAAATAATTTATATAAGTCTGCTACTGATGGATTATCTATTAAAATACCACCAATATATGAAGTTGCAGGCAGGATTTGAAATATAAGCAGTGGATTAATAAAAGATTTAACAGTAGTGTTGTAAAACAGCTAATATAAAGGAGTGAAAAACAAACATCGGGAAAGGAGAGGTGGGAAGTCAAGAAGAAACTTCACATATATTTAAAAAAATGTATATGATGATAAACGCTTTGAAATGTTGGAGACTTAATAAAAAGTATATGAAAAAAAATTATATAATTCTGCTGTCCAAAAGCTCATTTCTGATGGGCAACTGCAAGGCTCTCCTTTCTTCCTTTACAGCCAAACCTCGATTTTTGAACGTCTCGGCTGCCAAATGTTTCAGAAGCTGAATCCCAAAAACCCGAAAGTGAATGCTTCCATTTTCGAACGTGCCTTGGAAGTCAAACGGCTTTTCATTTTTCCCCATTGACTTTGCAGCCAGCCCATTGATGCTCGGTTTTGGAACGTTTCGGAAGTCAAGTGGACTTCCGGAACGGATTACGTTCGAAAACTGAGGTTCCACTACTACCCTGTGCTATCCGTGCAGGGACGAAGGTGGCGCTGTGGTCTAAAGCACTGAACCTCTTGGGCTTGCCGGTCGGAAGGTTGCCGGTTTGAATCCCTGCGACAGGGTGAGCTCCCGTTGCTCGGTCCCAGCTCCTGCCAACCTAGCAGTTTGAAAGCAGGCCAGTGCAGGTAGATAAATAGGTACCATTGTGGCGGGAAGGTAAACGGCATTTCTGTGCGCTCTGGCTTCCATCACGGTGTCCCATTGTGCCAGAAGCGGCTTAGTCTTGCTGGCCACATGACCCAGAAAGCTGTCTGTGGGCAAACTCTGGCTGCCTCAGCCTGAAAGCGAGAGGAGCGCCGCAACCCCATAGTCGCCTTTGACTGGACTTAACCGTCCAGGGGTCCTTTACCTTTTTACCTATTAGCACATATGTCTACCGTGCCTTGGAATGGATAAAATATCGGCCCACCCTTAAAATGAGACATCTGGAACCCCAGCGGGAAGTAACTGCACACAATTTACCTGTGCTCTATTGAGCTAAATCTATTGTAGCTCCATGACTGCTGTTGCCTTATGCATCGATGCTGTGTTTATGCGAAATCGCTGGTTCTGCCTTTCAGATGTTGATTATGATGTAAATTGTGTTGCAGCTGCAACTGTGATACTGCACTAAGATTTCATCAAAAAATGAAGAAGAAAAAACACTGAGAGAGAAAATGAATGCTATATTCTCTCATTCAATGTTATGTTTCCTCCTTTAACTAGAGTGTTTATTATGCGAGATGTGGAACAAATGAATTGAGATACCAAATAGTTTTTGTGAGCTGATTTCTCTCCCCCGCTCCCTGTCTCTTCATGATGCCACAATACCATTATAATTGTGTTTAAAGGTTCACTCATCATATATTCTTCAGTGCTTATTACCATAAATACTGCTTGCCCAAAAAACAAGATGATTGAGCCTTCATGCTACAATTTCTCTAAATAATTAAATCGTATTATATTAATAGAAACCCTCTTTGTTTATTTCTTTATTTCAGTTACCTGAACCAAATAAAACAAATTCTCTCCGATTTGACATTTCTTGAAGTAGTACTTTTAATACCTTTTAAAGCTAAATGCTAAGCTATAGCTATTGTCTGGCTTTATTTGTCTTGCAATTTTTCATAGTGTTTTCATACTTGATGAGTGCTAACCCCTTTTTTGTTTTCTTTTAATAATATGAGCATATATTCATTTGAATCTCAGTGAGATTTGGAACGGACTGTTAATCAACACAACACTTCTTACGCAGGAGTGGCAAATTTAGTTTGCTGATGACACAACCAGCGAAGGAAGTTACGGCATATAGAAGATGGTGGAGGGAAAAAACCCCTCAAATTTGCCTTACACAAATTTCTGTATGTTTGTAACTCAGATTGGGTTAGTTTAGCAGACCTTATTTTTGCATGGACCTGGAGCCACAAAGTGTTTGAGAGAGAAAACTCTGGCTGACAAAGTCCATTATGCTATAGGCCTACATAACATTTTCATTCACCCATTAATTAGGTTCGAAATAAATAAATAAAAATGTTTGTTCTGGGTATAAGCTTTCGTGTGCATGCACACTTCTTCTAAACCCCAGAAGCCAGCAACAACCAGGAGAATTGTCAAGGCCCCACCTCAAGTTATGGTCTTGATCATGGGTAGGCAAACTAAGGCCCGGGGGCCAGATCCGGCCCAATCCCCTTCTGGTCTGGGAATCAGCGTGTTTTTACATGAGTAGAGTGTGTCCTTTTATTTAAAATGCATCTCTGGGTTATTTGTGGGGCATACGAATTTGTTCATATTTCCTCCCCAAAATATAGTCCGGCCCCCCACAAGGTCTGAGGGACAGTGGACCGGCCCCGTTATGAAAAAGTTTGCTGACCCCTGGTCAGCGGCGTAGCGTGGGTTGTCAGCACCCGGGGCAAGGCAAGTAATTTGCGCCCCCTAACCCCTAACCTGCTGCCGCTGCCAGCTTCTTCTTGCTGCTGCCTGGGCTGGTCTGGTGTGGTTCTCTCCCGCGCTCAGCGCTGCGCTGGGCGGCCGTTGCACTGTCCATCCCCCAGATAGTCCCTCGCTCTCTCTCCGCACCGCACGCCTGGCACCCACCCCCTCCACAGTGGGTGGCGACCCAGCGGCTCGGATCGGATTCGCACAGCCAGCACTGCAGTGAGAGAGAGAGAGTGAGCCAGGTAGGGGCAGAGAGCTGCGAGTGCGAGCGCGCCCCCCCAGATGTTGCGCCCGGTGTGGCCGGCCCCCCCTGCACCCCCCACGCTACGCCACTGCCCCTGGTCTTGATACTTGTAACTAAGTGTGAAAGAGAAACTTAATTTAGACTGCAGTCCTTACACACTTACTGGGGAAATACTCAGTTGAACACAATTGGGCTAGGATAGGATTGTACCATTAGGCAAGTTGCTATATTATACCCTTCAACTGCCCCCAAAATACTGGGATTGCCATGAAAACCCAGGCTACAGCTTTCCCAATCCAGCTCTAGTTGGATCGAGGCAGTCGTCGTTCTTTCATAGCCTAGACATTGCACCCCATCTATTTGCACCTCAGCAATTAAAATAGATTAGAGGTTTTGAAATTAGAGATTAAAAAAAATATGAAGCAGTTTTATAAATGCTTTTAATAAAACAATAAAGTAAAATAGCCCAGCATAAGGAAGTTCCCTTAAATCTTGACTCAGCCATCTTTAAGCAAGCCATTACAGTGGTGCCCCGCAAGACGAATGCCTCGCAAGACGGAAAACCCGCTAGACGAAAGGGTTTTCCGTTTTGGAGGTGCTTCGCAAAACGAATTTCCTATGGGCTTGCTTCGCAAGACGAAAATGTCTTGCGAGTTCCTGCGGGGTTTTTTCCCTCCCCCCCCTTTTTCCCAAGCCGCTAAGCCGCTTATCAGCTGATCCGCTAAGCCGCCAAGCCGCTTAACAGCTGATCGCTAAGCCGCTTATCAGCTGATCCGCTAAGCCGCTTAACAGCTGATCCGTTAAGCCACTAAGCCGCTTATCAGCTGATCCGCTAAGCCGCTTAACAGCTGATCCCTTAAGCCACTAAGCCGCTTATCAGCTGATCCGCTAAGCCGCTAATAGCGCTAATCCGCTAAACCGCTAATGGGCTTGCTTCGCAAGACGAAAAAACCGCAAGACGAAGGACTCGCGGAACGGATTCTTTTCGTCTTGCGAGGCACCACTGTATCTCTTAGTCTTTGCACACCCACCCAGTCTGTAAAAAGAGGCGCAAAGATATTGCCCTACTGTTGCATAAGGGCTCTTGAAATATTGGTCCAGTTTGCATGTTAACGGTAAGCCAAACAATGGCTTTGGTTACTGTTTGTGAAATGAACCCAAAGCCTGAGTTCGGACATCACGTCAAGCTCAGTATGTATGGCTCAGTCTTGGGCTACCGCTCCCAGAGCTGTCACGTGATTGGCCGACTGTGAGTCACATGAGAGAGGCATTCCATTCTGTTGTGATTGTTATTCCAGTAACTGACGTTTTTTAACTGCTTTCTGCTTCTCTCTCTGTGTGTGAGGGACAATGGCTGCTGGGAGAAGCTTCTTAGGATGTGCTGTGTTGTGTCAGTGGGATCTGTCTGAAGTGAAACAGACAGAGGAAGGATCCCTAAACCTTAACAGGGAGAAATCTGTGCAGTAGCCTCTCTGTAAGGAGCAGAGGGAATACTGCTGAGGTGAAAGTATAAGATGAAACTGTAAAGCCTGAGGGAGACCTGCAATTCAAGTGGGAACGTGCCCATGTTCGAATAAGCACGAGATTACAAATATATTCTTCTCAGTTATATGTTCATGAAAGCAAAGTTCTTTTGGATATAAAGAGTCTGGGCATTGTATAGTCTTTACAAAGAAGCTACCAATCACCTGGAAGTGTTATTTAGCTTCCTAGCTGTAAGCTACTCTGTTCCTTTGCATATCACCAAAATTTTATTTTGTATATGCACACAACAGACTGCAGCTCCCAGAATTCTTTGGGGGAAGCCATGACTGCTCAAAGTGGTATCATGGTGCTTTAAGCTTGCGGTGTGGATTTAGCCGGGGGGGGGGGGAGGGTTTTCTGAAGAGATTTCTGGCAGAGTGGAAAATGAGGAGACTGCAGAGAGAGAGAAAATGAAAAGTGCAACCTCCTTCCCTCATATTGTCCAGCATTTCTTTAACAGAAGCTCTGCAGTCAAGGGAGTGACAGAGATTGAAGCCCACAGCTTTGCTCCTGTCCAGAGAAAGGTCCGAGAGACTTACCATTCTGGCCTGAGCGGTTTTTGTTTTCTGTCGTTCTATCAAGAAGCTGTGCCCTTAGCTAACTGTTACTCTTGCTTCTTCCGCTTTTCCTTGTTAAACATGTCACAGGTCTTTATTTTCTTTAAGTGGTTTCATCGTGAGAGAATCAGTCACGTGTTAAGATTTGTAATATAATCCGAGACCAGGGAGAAGAGTCGGTGAAAGAAGACTGGAAGAAATTTAAAGACTATTTACAGAAATATTGTAAAATTAAGGAATCTTAGAAGGATGTTGGATAGAAACTAAGTGGTTTCCAGCTGTAATGCTTTAAGAGATACGAAAAAAGGTTTACAAATGGGTAAAAGCTTAATGGTAAGGATTTGCTGAACTAACAAACTGAAATGGAATACAAAAAAGGGAGGTACGAGGAGGTCCGGGGAAATAAGTGTAAGGAAGATATGCTTTGGAAAATTAACGTGTTTTTAACTGTTTTTATTTTGTATGTCTCTTTTTTTTTTTGTTATATCTTAAAAACTTTATTCTTTTTTCTGTATTTTGTATTTTCTTGCATTATTATTTTTTGTTTTTGTGTAATTCTTGTACTCTTTGAAACTTTAATAAATATCATAAAAAAAAAAGATTTGTAATATAACAGGAACAGCAAGTGCGAAAGAGAAGGACTGTTCTGTGTACCGAGTTGAATAGGATCCAAAATGCAGCATTCTGATTGGTCCTAGAACAATAGGATCCAGAATGCAGCATTCTGATTGGTCCTAGAACAATAGGATCCAGAATGCAGCAGTCTGATTGGTCCTAGAACAATAGGATCCAGAATGCAGCAGTCTGATTGGTCCACAGGAGCCACCCAGTCCAGCTCCACGTGGAAGTGAATCCGCAATCTGATTGGCCTATAGGAGAATCCCAGAATTAGCCAATCATGTGGGGCCCATTGTGTAAATAATGTACCAGACATTCTGGGGGAACTTCCATTCCTCCTCACCACTATGAGCTGAATAAAGAGCATGGAATCCACTCTCGACTCCGAGTATATTTCAGGCTGTAACCAAAACAAGAATTTAAAGAAGTGCTTTGGAAAGCAAGTTTTGTTTCCAAATAATACCGGGAACCACAAAGTCTAATCAGAATTAAAGTATGCTGGCTCTGTTTCCACAGCTTTCACCCTGTGTGGATTTGTAGAAAAGCCGGTATTTGTTTTTAGTGGGATAAGATAATACTTTAAGATAGAAGAGGGGTGGTTGTTTTCTGTTTCTGTTAGGCGTCCCACTGGTTTTTTCCATTACATCCTTTCAGGAAATGCAGAATTTTGGGGCTCTGGCCCTTTATCCCAAGGGACCACTGGTGGGGCAACTAAGCTACATTAAGAGTTTTACATTGCAACCCTACACATTTCTACTCAGAACCAAGTCTTGTTGAGTTCCATGGGGCTTAGTGGATATAGGATTGCAGCCATAATTGATCCCTTAATATATCTGCATAAAACATATTCACCTTCTTATCCAACAGACTTTGGGGGAAATTGCCTGCTTCAAATGAGGGTGCTGGTGCTGGACTGTTTTTAATGTAATTATCTTTTATATCTCAAATACATCTTTTTAATATAGGTAGATGGAGTTTTAATTCTATTAAGGCTTATTTGGTTTTTTTTAATGATTGCTTTTCCTCTGTGCTTTGAGCTGTTCTTATTTTAACTGCAAACTGCTTTGAGTCCCTGTCAGGGGAAAAGGCAGGGTATCAATAAATATATAAAAGTATGAAGTGATAATTCTAAAGAAGATCACTCATTTTTCTTTTTTTAGATGATCCATGGCGCTCAAAGTGGGCACCAGAGAGGATGGCATCTTTTGGCTTCTAAGGCATCACCTATTAACCGTGATATTTGTAAGTACCTGTCTTTATGTTTGTATTAACAATGTTCTTAAACTGCCCCCAAACTGGCATTCTCTGGGCAGTTAACAATAATGTTCAATACTATAAGAGATCAAAATAAATACATAAAACAAGCACAATATAAATTAAAATAAATAAAACCAGTGGCACAAAACATGGATGGTTGCATCTGCCTTAAGTCATACTTATAGTAGTACGACTCATGCAACACCTTGGCGATTAATATACACACAATAATTACCAAAATGATTATATATTCTTTGTCACTCTTCTGAGAAAAATACAAAACATTATGCAAAGCCACAGAGACTTGCAAACTACCCAACCTAAGATGAACTTATAATGTCTGATTTCAATGGATTTTTCAAGTGCTTCACTCAGTCTTTTGTTTTCTTTATCTTTTTAGGTAAGTTCATGAAGATACCAACAAATGGTAAGTTTGGTGTTGTTCACAATAGTCTTACTATTGAAATGGCAGAGAAAGTGGGGGAAAAAGATGCAACATAACTACTAGGCAGTCCTCTCTGGGGATAAAAGTCAACCAGGTGCCACCACGGAAAAGTCCCCATTTTAGTAATCATCTGTTGCTCACCATTTGGCTGGGGACATCCAAGAAGGCATAAACGAGTTAACTTTTTTTTTTTTTTTTTAGAAAATGCTGCAGCCTAGTTGAAAGGACTCTTCAAACCATGTTTTTTATTGTTTAGTGGAAGGAATGCCTTCTTTTGCTATCACACCGAAGTTATTCTGCCCGCTCTGTTACCTCTGTTTCTTCAGGTAGCTTAGTGATGTATATGGCCGTGTTTCCAAAGAGCCTGCTGCTTCATAACAATGTTTGGCAGTTTAGGTCATCATGTCCCCCAAATGAATGGTTGGCGGTTACCATAGGGATAAAAAGGCCTTAAGAGTCTTTGTGAGCCACAGCATAAAAAAAGAGAGAGAGAGAAAACCCTTGTTTTGGCATGTGTCTGCAGTAGAGTATTCACAGTGGATTGTGAAGCTTAATTTCAGGAATAATAGAAGGGTCAAGGAACAGCTCATTCCTTTCTGCCTCCATATTCTGTTGAGTAGACGATGAAAATTCACCAGCTGCCACAGCAGTAAAAACATATTTTCCCCAGAAAAGAATATTTTCGATTTCTGAGGAAAGGCGTTTAAAATAATGCGGTGAAAGGCATATTGCGCCGTTCTATTCCCAAGCAGCATTTCGTTTCATTTATTTATTTTATCCTGCCTTTCCTCCAAAATACGGCGCCGTTTTAATTGTTCCTCCTTGTGAGCTGTTTGTCCTAAATAAGCTATACATGTCAAACCACTCTCAACATTGTTGGGACTATAGAATAATACTGTTGTTCGAACCAGCCAACATTCACAAAACAGTGCGTAAGCTTTTGAGTTACACAGAGCTCTTCTCTCAAACTGGATGCTCAACAATATACAAAAGAGTGGGTTGGGGGAAAACGACTGGGTGAGCAGAGTGAGAGATTATGCTGGGCTGGATAAACTTTGGGTCTGATGCAGCAGGGCTTTTCATCTGTTCATTGGTGTTGGCGTGTAGTCAAGTCCTATCTGCCGTTTGTTTCAGTTCTAAATTGCAAGGGAGTGAGGGGTTACAAAACCAAAGCAAATTAGAATTGTGCCTTTGGAAGAGCACCTCAGGTCGCCTAGAGACATACTGGAACCAAGGAGCAAATGTAGGTTGTTCATTTGGATTAAGACGGTCTCTCGGTTAACAAAATTTCAGCAGAAATTCTAGCTAAGAGTTCTGAATTTGTGGTTAGATTTAACTGATCTTAGATTGGTCATTTGAATTTGCTGTGTGGGCACATCTAATTCAGGATTAAGCTGGTTTAATACCCAGGGAGTATTAGGCACTGAAATTCTATGAGAGAGACTACCATTCTCAGGAATTTTTTTTTGAGGAAGCCATCATGTGATCAGGCATAGCTATCACCACACAGTGCACCACATCAGTGCAATATGTGAATCAGCTACTATTTCCGTGTGTGTGTGTGTGTGTGTGTGTGTGTGTATTTTAAACCCCTGGCCCAATAACATAATAGAACCAGCAGATCTGTTGACCCCTGTGGCAGACCCCAAAATGGCGCCAGGGAAGAAGGGGTGAGGGAAGATCTATATAAGGAACAAGCAGGGAATAAAGATTGGGATCAAGCACTGTCAGAAACTACGTTCTCCAGAACAGGATCTACACATCACTCTCCATTTAGATCAGATACCTTTTCAATTATAGAGTCAGTAAGGTATAGTATGACTGGAACTTCAGCAAATAATTAATAGCCCCCAAAACTTTGCCCCGCAAAGGGAGAGAAGGTTGCTAGCCAGTATGATCAAGGGTGATTTCCCTTCTCCCATGGGTAACGTAATCCACTGATACCTTAACTGACAAATTGTTAGAGGAGGCCCCAGATAGTTTAATGTATGCAATGCAGGAAATGTTTGTCAGGCTCAGCGCTGGATTTAGGGCAGTGCGGATGGTTCCTTGCACAGGGCGCCAAGCTGATTGGGTGTATAATGATAATGATAATGATAATAATAAACAATATTTAATATTATTAATTGATAAGCTATATTTATATAGGTACCTACTGAGAAGTTCCATAAAAAGCAACTGTACAGAAAGGAATTATTTATTGATGTATACCAGGGATCAGCAAACTTTTTCAGTAGGGGGCCGGTCAACTGTCCCTCAGACCTTGTGGGGGGCCAGACTATATTTTGGGAGGGAAAAAGGATTAATTCCTATGCCCCACAAATAACACAGAGATGCACTTTAAATAAAAGCACACATTCTACTCATGTAAAAACACCAGGCAGGCCCCACAAATAACTCCAAGATGCATTTTAAATAAAAGGGCACATTCTACTCATGTAAAAACACGCTGATTCCTGGACCGTACGCAGGCTGGATTGAGAAGACGATTGGGCCGGATCCGGTCCCCGGGCCTTAGTTTGCCTACCAATGATGTAAACCTCCCAAATGTATTTTGTATAGTTAAGTTTTTAGCTCTGTCTTTAGTACATTTTATTTTATTGCTATGACTGGTGGCTGACGCAAATAAAGATTCTTATGATCTGATCTGATTGTGAAAATAAAAATATTTGGGAGTGGGGCACACCAAATTTTGTCCTTGCTCGGGGCGCCATGTTAACAAAGTCCAGCCCTTTCAGGAAGACAGGATCCTAGATCGCAGAGTTGGAAGGGATTCTGAGAGTCAACTAGCCCAACAATCTGCAATGCTGGAATTTCAACTAATGTATCAGTGACAGGTGGCCCCTGAACCTTGCAGCAATGCTACGGCTGTCGGAGCACAGTATTGTGAGAGGCTGCTGTTGACTCTCACATCTCCTTTGAGGGTAGGGTGAAACTGTGCTGCACTGGTTACTGCCGCATGTTGGAACCTCTGAAACTGTTGGGATTTTGCCTACGTGCAGCTTCACACAAAAGCAAAGTTGGCCGAAAGCCAAGAAGACTGAGCAGAGGGAGTTATTCTGCCTAGAGATATGGGACCTTGGATACAGCTCAACTATAGGTCGAGGTCTCCACATAGGCATGACGACTCATGACCTTCCTTGCTGGATAGTTGGTTGGTCAGTGTGGTGTTCTGAGAGTCGTTTGGAGTTAAGAGAGAGTTTAAGATGCATGTCTGTATCTTGTATATAGTAACTTGTGAGTCTGCTGCAAATAATAAACACCTATAAGTAACCAAGTTACTGGTAGCAGCGTCTTGTTCCTGCTTCATCCTTCCTGCTTGCAACTGATAGCTTCTGGAGGTCTGCGTATGCTCTGCTATATTCAACTGGGTCTGGCTAAGATCCTGCAACAGTTAAAGTTGCGAAACACCAATAGAAACCTCACAAGGCAGGCGGAGGCACAACCCTCTGTTTGCAAAATGCAGGTCGTTGCAGGAGCAGCGGGTTATAAATTGTCCTCCTTTAGACCCAAGGGCAGCTATATTTTGCGCAACAGCGAAAGTGTAGTTGCGCTGGTGCTGAAAGAAACAAAAACCCTCCATGTCCCTAAATGGGATACCATTGACTGTGGCACCATATTAAAAACAATAAATCATATTTATAGATTTTATCCGGCACACACTGTCCAAGAGCCTGTTTACTGTGACGAAGTGGGGGGGAAAATCAGCAGAAAAGCAAGCGAAAGGTCCCATTGCAAGCTGATGACCTCCTCAGCTGGTGAAAGAGCAAGTAGGCATGGCCATTAGCTGAACTGAAGAAACTAATTAAATGAGCATAAATCAGTTCTTAAGCCACCAGCAGGTACACAGCCTTGGGTCTGTTTACTGGACCCAGCTCATGAAAAATTCCAACCGAGGATTGTGAGAACTAAACTGAGCGGCTTTATCAACAGCAACATGCAAGAGACCAAAGGGACAACACCTTGTTTTGCGAAAGAATACTTGGGTTTTCTTTTTCTTTTGGCAGCTGGGAATCTGCTAGTTATTCGGGATCCCACTGGGCTACTCTGGGCAATAAGTACAGTTTGGAACAGGTATAGATGTAACATTATTGCTTTGCTATTTCAGGCTGATTCTGTTTGTTTTGACCGAAATTCTAGGGCCCTGATCCAGCAAGGTGGTATACATTTATGGAAGTTACTGTGTATCCCAGGCTGAATGTGGGCTTCAGCAACTGGAAAAATGTCTGCCGCTTATAGAGATAATTGCTCCTGTGAGCGATCTACTTGGGTAATCAACATAAGAAGTGAGCCAGCTCAGGCAAGATCATTTTCCCCCCTTCTGTGAACTTGGAAATGGCAGCTTGTATTTTTTTCAGTTCATGAAAGTGGAAGTAGTCATTCTTTGACGTTACGCTTTTCCCTTGAATTAGACCACTTCTGGTGGGAGCTGTTCTTTTTTTGTAGTGGCTGCCATTTTGTAGAATCTAAACTGATTGCAGTATGTCACAAACACGTGTTCTGTGTGTTTGGCTGTTCAGGAGGAAGAATGGGTCTGGAAAAAAATGTTTTCTCTGTGCGCGTGCTTGCTAATTAGATTAATAGTTGTATAATAATTTCAAAGAAAAGCAGTGAAATTTCCAACTTCTTTTATTCTATTCGAGGAATATACAGTTTCTCAGAATATATAGTTTCTCCACTGAGGAGCAAACTCATACAAATGCTAGGAAGCTGCAACTCTTTTATTTATCTCATTCTTTATCTAACTGAAGCCTCTGATTTGTTGCATTATTTATGCTAGTGTCTAGTTTGGTGTTTGAATCTTTGGTTCTACAGTATAAATGTATGATGCTGCAGTGTTTTGAAACTAGAACAATATCTATAAAAGTAAGTGATCAGGAACTGGTGCCAGTACTAAGAATGGACGTTGTTTTGAGTCAAGATCTATTGTTTTGTTTAGGGCCATAGTTTTTGAGTTGCTGTTTTTTTAATTAAGTGCCATTAAAAGTAGAAATTTTCAAAATTCATACTTCCATTGTGACAGCATTCTTTATTATATAGCTTCAGCCTTACCAAACATTCCCCTCCCCCCAGATAAATTGAGTTTAGGGATGGTCAAATATGCATTCTTCACATTGCCAGTCAACAGTCATGGAACTGAAACTGCATATTGCTGCTCAGATTTTTTGGGTTATTTCATTTGGAAAAAAACATGAGATAAAAGGGAACATGATAGAGGGGAATAAAATTATGGATGTTGTGGATAGTGAAGTTTTTGTGTAGTGGTTAAGAGTGGTGGTCTCATAATCTGATGAACCGGGTTTGCTTCCCCGCTCTTCCACATGCAGCTGCTGGGTGACCTTGGGCCAGTCCCACTTCTTTGAAGTCTCTCAGCCCCACTCACCTCACAGAGTGTTTGTTGTGGGGGAGGAAGGAAAAGAAGAATGTTAGCCGCTTTGAGACTCCTGAAGGGGAGTGAAAGGCGGGATATCAAATCCAAACTCTTCTCACTCATAGTCTCACATACTAGAACCTTCAGTTCTCTGTTGAAGTTGAATTGTAGAAGATTCAGGAGAGAGAAAAGGAAGGGGGCTAAGACTAATGAAGTCAGGATGATTATATGCTGCCCATAGGAGTGCAGGCAGAATAACTCTGTATTTTGCATTTTTTATATAAAAAATTATATGCTGCTTAATCAGAAAACTGTGCAATAAAAATATATAGATAAAATAATCAATAATGGAAAGATAAAAATAAACAAAACTGTTAAAGAATCACCCCAATAGATACACAGACAAATTAAACACAGATAAAATCAGCAAAATCAGTTGCTGGGGAGCAAGAGTGAAAAAAGATATATGGTTGGCTAGTGTGAAATCGGATGCTGCACCAGATCGGGGTGTGTGTGTTGGTAGTCTTTTGTAATATGATGCCCTGTGCGAGGCTCAGATTTGGTGCCCCCAAATGGATCTTCTTAGTTATGGACCTTCTCAATTTTATGCCCCTCAGTTCGGCACCCTGTTTCTCCCTAACCATCTCCCCAGTTTGAAACAAGAAGATATTAACAATGAGATGGCGGAAAGACCACGCCTGATTTTCCAGCTTGTGTAGCTATTAACAGCTTGGGGGGATGCTGTTTGAACAGTGGATATGGCATGTGAGAATGGGATAAATCTTTCTTCCTCTAACGCTCATTGGGCTCCCATGTTTGTTTTTATGTTCAGCCTCCCCACCAGACATTGGGTGATCTGATCCTAGGTCTTGTACGTCATATTCAGTTAGGCCCTAAAAAGCCAGGCACAGCTGTTTTGGTTTGTAACTAGCATTTTGGGGTTGTAGGTACAGTGGGAAAGGTTGAGTATGCTGAAATTATATAATTGTTGAGTTGGAATTGTTGAGCTGCCAAGGGTCATCTAGTCCAACCCCCTGAAATGCAAGAATATTTGTGCCCAACATGGGGCTCAAACTCACGACCCTGAGATTAAGCGTCTCATGCTCTGCCAACTGAGCTATCCAGGCAAGGAAGTAGCATCGCTGGCCGATGATTCTCAAGGTTCTGTGTGGAACAGTCTTGCATGTGAAATACCAATCAGGAGTCTACAAAAATGCATTAGCCCTGCTTTGCCTTTTGATAGGCAGGGGTAGGAGAGTGCTAGAAGCTATTTTCCCACAGTTATAGTTCGTGTGTAGGCTGTGCTCAATTCTGGGGAACGTTTTCGCATGCTGGTCCCCACTTTGTAACCTGTAGGATTGTTTACTTTAATTGAATGCCCTTGAAGGCGAATTTGGTGGAACGCTGCTGGTTCTTCCTCTAAGCTGTAGGAAGGCAGTTCTGTACACACTTACCTGGGAGTAAGTCCAGCTGAAATGAATGAGACCTGCTTTTGAGTAGACTTATTCTTCCATCACTATCAGTTCTTCACATTTGTGGTTTTTTTCCTGCCTACAAGTGCTGGTGTTTGATCAGATATAATGCGTGTGCTGCTACAGCCAGTTCCTCAGTGTTTACATTTCCAGTTTTGCTGCTATTCACTAGATGTCACTGCCTGCCCACATCCTATAAGAGCAGCAGCAAATATAATGATAAAGGTTTGGCCCTTCTAGATTCCCACAAATGTTTAGGGCAATACCACTGGGCTATATACAGTATATATTTTAGCGTATAATAGGTTTAGCTTGCAAAGAGGTAATGGCGATGAGTAACATGTGCATTTGGACATTTTCATAAAAGATGGAACTTTGAAAAAGAGGGTTCCATTTTAATTCTATAGACTTACAGTCATACCTCTGGTTACAGATGCTTCAGGTTGCGTTTTTTTGGGTTATGGACCGCCGAAACCCGGAAGTACCAGAACAGGTTACTTCCAGGTTTTGGCGGTCGTGCATGCGCAGAAGCACCGAATCGCAACCTGTGTGTGCGCAGACGCACAGCTGAGGGTTGCGATCGCTGCGGGTTGCGAATGTGCATCCCGCACGGTTCACATTCACAACCCGAGCGTCCACTGGATAAGCTTATAAGCCTATTCACTTTTTTCCTGTGAGTATGGATAGGTGTACAGGCCATTGCCTTTCTCTAAAATTACAGCTATCTGTTGTTCAGAGTTTACACCCCAAAGCAGGCGTTTTCCATGTGCAATCTATAGTAATACACAAACAAAAGTTCAGACACAGAATAAGTTTATTATGGTATATGGCAAACATCAGACACTTTAAACTGTTCTCTGGTGTCCAAAAAATGGCTTCATATTTAGTAAGAAAAATAGTCTTTCTCCTTAATATAGCCTTTACATTGTAAAAGGAACATGTTTTGATAACAATCTTGGCTTTCAGGAAATTTTTGCTCTGTGCTCAAGGAATTCCCATTTCCCCTCTTCCCTGTAAGTCCATTTTTTCTAAGTTTCATGGATAGATTAAATATACCATACAAAAAAAAATTCATTTGGCATGGAGGAATTTAAAACTTTGCATCCCCTTTTTTTAGATTTAACAAAAATAAAATCCAGACCCTAGAAACTCTTTGCTTTTAATCCCTCAATATTTTTTTTTTTACAGACAAAAGTATCCTTTCAGTAGTTTTATTTAAGAACTCACGCACTAAATAGATATAAGACACATCCAATATTGTGTTCCTGATAGCAAGTGCATAGATTTTGTTAAGATTTTTGTTCCCCACTTGGAGAGCATGTTTCATGGTCAAAAGAAGGGATATTTCCCAGTGATTGTGCTAGAGCATATATATGAGAGAGAGAGAGAGAGAGAGAGAGAGAGAGAGAGAAAGAAAGAAAGAAAGAAAGAAAGAAAGAAAGAAAGAAAGAGAAAGAGAGGAATAGGGCGGAGTAAGAATAGGCAGGTAGGAAGGAAAAGATAGAACGAAAGAAAAGCATAGGAGAAGGAGGGGAAAGGAAACAAACAGGACACAGCAAAGTTGTGAAATCACAACAGAGAATGAAGAACAAAAACAGCCAAACCAGCAGTACAGTCGATTCCTGATAAGTGAATAACCTGATTGTTTGTACACAATGCTTTATTCACTTATCAGGAATGAAACACAGTACACTGTTTTTTCCATAGCCTGAAACCTAAGGACCACCAAATTGGGTTGTGTGTTTTTTTGTAATAAAAAAACATTAACACTCACTCCAGCGAGGTATTCAGAAATCTTTTGGACTTTGAAATAAAGCTCCTATGGCAAGAAAGAGACACTAGTGGCACCTTTGCTGTTAAGACCACAAAGAGGTTTGCCACTGCAATCAGTTGGATATGGATTGCAGCCTATGTGAAGCACAAGCGTACCTGAATTGTAGGTGGAGACACAGATACCTTCTAAATACTAGAAGGGCTGCCCTTATATCTTCCTCTCTGGAAAAAATAAACCACTTTGTTCTTGTAGACGTTCCTGTAACTCTAAAGCCTGAATTTTGAAGGGCTAAGGGAATATGGAAACACTGTAATATCAAACATACAGCGGCTGCCATCTCAAAATGGCTCATCTACAGGAGCAAAGGAATCTCAGGTTGTTTGGGGTCCCTTGTGCATATTAGCAAAGTGGAACTAGGAACTGGGAGCGTTAGAAGACCCTAGAGCTGCCACTCATGACTGTGGATTGAACAATGTGTTGTGTATGGGGTGGGGATTACCAAGACGCTGGTTTCCCCATGAGGCAAACGTGGGGGTAGAGGAGTACTTGGAGGGCAGAAATTGGGTGGGTAGGAAGGTGATGCTGAATGCTATTTTGGCGAGATGGAGCGTGGTTCTACCCACCGCCTTTGAATCAGGCCCCTTGCGGCTTGCACAACCCACCAAGCCCAATATAGACCACCAGCTCTGTAGGGTGACCCAACAGGAAGTCAAGAATAGGTCTACCCTTTTTCAACTTTCCTGAGGTAACAGAGAGGTACCCCCCCCCACTGTTTGCCACTTTGAACAGTATTAGGCAAACAATGAGCTTTATAAACACCTGAAGAAATAATAATAATAATAATAATAATAATAATAATTAATAATAATAGGAGTCCCTGACTCTTCAAAGGGTTCCTGAGCCTCCCCAACCTCTGCTTCATCATCTGAATGTTCCAGGCAAGATGTTGAAGTGACTTCAGCGGTTGTTGTACCATGGCAACTAACTCATTGCTATAACTAGCCCATGGAGGTGATTATGATTTACATTTCACAAATGTAAAGGTGCAGCTGAGAGACAATGAATGGCTTGGCAAAGGCCACCAAGTAGTAGAGGTGGAATGTGGACCTAAATGTCCCATGTGTCGGCCATTGCATCCTATTGATTCCAATCATCCCCCGTTTCATTTTTTAAAATGAATAGTAATAATACTAAAGATGCTTGCATCTTTTACACTGAAATAAAACGATTGTCAGCACTTATCACAATTAAGGCTCGTGAAACTGACCTGGGAAGATGAGTTCCTTCCCAGCCATTTTTGTTTCTATTTTTACTTTTTAACAAGAGTGTCTACTTTCTTGTGACGTAGCAGGCACACTGTTGCATCATGGGATGTGGTCCCATGATGCAGCTGTACAGATGAGGTACTTGGAAAACAGGACCAGGGGCTGGGGCTGTGGGAAGCAGGCACCAGTGAAGCCATGTGAAAGGCAGCAGGAACAGGCCCCTCCCCAGGAGGACAGCTCTTCCCCCAACAATTTGCGCCGCTTTCGAAACCCACAGACATAGAAGCTTGCAGAACAAGCTCCTCAGAACAAGGGGGGTCATCGGGGGGGGGGGGAGTTGCCAGAACCGTGAGAGAAGAGCTTCCATTGAACAATGTTTCTATTCTGAAGAGGTTGCCATTTTGGACTGTGTGTGACTGGCTCACACAAGTCAAGACCAGAAAATAAAAGTCACAAGGGAAGTCTGGACTCCATCTTATAAGAGCACTTTTAAATGGCCTTCAATTCCTGAGTTCGGGATAAAGGAATGTATGTATGGCTTGAATCCCAGAAAGCATGGGGTAGAACTTTCTCTATCTGCAGAACCCCTCCCCAACTTGATAAATTTGAATCTCTGATCAGTCGAATCGATAACGACAACAACAGCAACGACAACAGAAATCCCACCCGGGTCAGTGGTACCGATGAAATGGAGACAGAATTTATAAGAGCACTGGGCGGAATCAAGATTGCACCAGCGACAAGCCTGCTTGCAGCTTATTTTCGCGGTAGTTTGTTTTCTCTGATGAAAAGAGAAAATACAATTGTGGGCCAACCAGCCACTTGGCACCCAGGAGGGCAATAAATATTGTAATAATCACTTTTCTCCTTAGAAATTTGTGCCGTTTCATTATCCATAGCGTACCATGTATGCCAAGATCAAAATAATCCCGTTCGGCACCTATGGCGATGCTCTTTATTTTATTGTTGACTTCCACTAGCTTTTTCTGAGCTCACATGCCTCTGTATGTCTCTAACAAGCTTGTTCACCTGGTGGGGTTTTGGCTCAGGCTCTCCTACCTGTAGTTAAAACATTATTACTTCTGAGAAACAGTGGGCTAATTCCATATGCTGCCAGAGAACACAGAACTTCTGGAAGAAATCCCAATATTTTCCACATTCTACTCCCATCAAGCAACTTTTTGGTAGTAAACAATATGTTCCTGAAAAACAGAAACATGTAACTTTTCAGCCATTAATCAGAGGAAAACTTTACTTATGATTTTTGGTTTTTGCGTATAAAACGCATGTGATTTTCTAAAAACTATGACTAAAAAGGCATCTCCAATGTGACTTCAGGCAAGCAATTAAATAATCTTATATTATCAAAATGATTAAAAGCAGGGAATGGGGGGGGGGGAGAGCAAGAAGTTGGAGGTAAAATTGAGCAAGGGTATCTACAAATCTGCATTCACTCTCCAATCAGATGTTCACTTAGGTGGAATCGACTGTATCTTTTGTACACGACAAATAGAAGAAAAAAAATCAACAGGGACGTGAAACAGTGAGGTGTGCAGATGTATTACCAACACGGAATGACCACCAACATTACAACACACAGAGAGAAAGAGAGACAA